AAGAATATTTATCAAAGTATTAAGAATTTCCCTTTCCATCCAAGAATTTCTATTAGAAATTGTAGAAAATTAATTATTAGAAATGTAGAAAGAAAAATAAATTTCTAAATAGATACTGAAAAAATAATTATACAGAAAGTTTCAGGAAAGTAATGTTTGCATTTTCAAAAAGGTTTATGGTGCATGTAAAGGCATCATGAGATAAAATTCAAATCAGATAAAATGATAAGTTTCAGAAAGAAGAAAACAGATATTTTTTAAATACTTTCAAAGTAATGATAGAAAACTTATGAAACTAAAAATTAAAACAAGAAAGTATATGAATTCAGCCAACAACAGCAATAAGGGCATAGATATGAAACTATAAAAAGTTTAAGCATTTATGTCATAAAATGAATAAGCAACAGTTTTTCCCTACTTCTTTCACTTTTTTTCTCAAAAGAGATAAAGTGATATTTTTAAGCTTTTTTTAAAAAAGTTCTGAATATAGTAAAATACTTATGCATTTTATATGAAGAGAAAGTAGAAGATAAAATACTTTTAATATATATGATAAAATATAACTGAACTTCTTAAGAAAAGACAGATCAGAAAATTAGCCAAAAGATTTTTTAAACTGGTATTAAACCACATAAAAACTTTCTTAAAGAATATATTTAAGATAAAAATTATTCCACAAAAGATATTTTTTTAATTCCTCACACAAAAGAAAACTATTATTATAAATGTTTTAAGAATTAAAATGGCTATAAAACAATAACTTCAAAAAAATTTATATGTTAGGAATAAAATTCTTGAGTAGTATATTTACAAAAGAGTTATATCATGGAAAATAAGAATGCTGAAGAATTGATTAAAAATAAAAACATATCTGAGTAACATTTTGAAATAAAATAAACATAGACATAAGAAATAACCATAAGAAAGAACAAAGGAGTAAAATGAAATAGTTTAAAATATGGATAAAAAGTATTATGAAATACTGTAAAATTATAAAAATAAAAAAGACTTATTTTAAAAATGTGTCAAAAAAGATTAAAAAATGAAAAACATGAATTTTACAAGACAAACACTTGGAAGAGAGTGTGTGACAACAAAAGAGTTGAAACTAAAACAAATTCTTTTAAGAGATTGTTACAGAAATAGAAAGTTACTAAGTGGAAAGGAAATCTAAGTAAATGATTTGAAAAAGAAATAAGAAATGAAGGCTTAAAATTCCTGAAGCAATCACTCAAAAGACAAATTAGAAAATTGTTGTTAAAAGAAATGAAAAGTGAAAGCACAGCAAAAACAGGTCATCACTTAGAATTGGACCTAAAACTTAGTGTCAAGTAATACTTTAAAACTATATATATATATATATATATATATATATATGTGAAGAAATAAAGGAATATAGATAAATATATATATATATATATATGTAGAGTAAAGGAATATAGATATATATATGTAAAGGAATATAGATAGAGAAATGGAAAGAAATAAAGGAATATAGATAGAAAATGGAAAGAAATAAAGGAATATATATATATGTGAAGAAATAAAGGAATATATATATATATATATATATATATATATATGAAGAAATAAAGGAATATATATATATATATATAGATATGTGTGAAGAAATAAAGGAATATATATATATATATATATATGTGTGAAGAAATAAAGGAATATATATGTAAAGAAATAAAGAAATATATATATATGAAGAAATATAGGAATATATATATATGTAAAAATAAAAGAATATATCTATATGTGAAGAAATAAAGGAATATATATATGTATATATATGTAAAAATAAAAAGAATATATCTATATGTGAAGAAATAAAGGAATATATATATGTATATATATGTAAAAATAAAAGAATATATCTATATGTGAAGAAATAAAGGAATATATATATATATATATATATATATGTAAAAATAAAAGAATATATCTATATGTGAAGAAATAAAGGAATATATATATATATATATGTAAAAATAAAAGAATATATCTATATGTGAAGAAATAAAGGAATATATATATATATATAAAAATAAAAAATATATCTATATGTGAAGAAATAAAGGAATATATATATATATAAAAATAAAAAAGAATATATCTATATGTGAAGAAATAAAGGAATATATATATATATATATATATAAAAAATAAAAGAATATATCTATATGTGAATAAATAAAGGAATATATATATCTATATGTGAATAAATAAAGGAATATATATATATATATATATATGTAAAAATAAAAGAATATATATATATATATATATATAAAAAATAAAAGAATATATCTATATGTGAAGAAATAAAGGAATATATATATATATGTGTAAAAATAAAAGAATATATCTATATGTGAAGAAATAAAAGGAATATATATATATATATGTAAAAATAAAAGAATATATCTATATGTGAAGAAATAAAGGAATATATATATATATATGTAAAAATAAAAGAATATATATATATGTGAAGAAATAAGGAATATATATATATATATATCTATATATATATATAAAAAAAAAAGAATATATCTATATGTGATGAAATAAAGGAATATATATATATATCTATATATATGTGTAAAAATAAAAGAATATATCTATATGTGAAGAAATAAAAGGAATATATATATATATATATATATATGTGTAAAAAATAAAAGAATATATCTATATGTGAAGAAATAAAGGAATATATATATATATCTATATATATGTGTAAAAATAAAAGAATATATCTATATGTGAAGAAATAAAGGAATATATATATATCTATATATATGTAAAATTAAAAGAATATATCTATATGTGAAGAAATAAAGGAATATATATATATATCTATATATATGTGTAAAAATAAAAGAATATATCTATATGTGAAGAAATAAAGGAATATATAAAATATGTAGGTAAAGAAAGAAATAAAAGATTATCTATATAAATATATTTTAATAAATGAAGTAATATATAAAAAAAAATAAATAATGCAATATATATATATATATATATATAAAAAGAAAGGAATATATATATATATATAAAGAAATATATAAAGAAATAAAAAAATATATATATATATATATATATATATATATATATATATATATAAAGAAATAAAGGAATATATATATATATACGCACACATAAAAAGTAAAAGACATAAAATTAGGAATATATATTGTAAAGAAATAACTGAATAAAGAAGTAAGGGAATAATGGAATATATATCTATAGAAATAAAGTAAAGGAATATATAAAGAATAAATTGCAGTTATATATAAAAAGAAATAAAGTTACATACACACACACAAAAGTTTTTAATGGTGTGAATGTTAATTGTTAAATTAAATACTACCTGACCAATCTCAAGTTTATGATGTTATTTCAAAGTCAAAACACATACAAAACAGTTTTAGAACTGGATTGTTCTTTCTTCCTTGTTTTCTTTTTCTTCTTTTTTTTTTTGAAATAACAGAAAATTTGCCCTAAGTGCCAGTAATGATGACAAACAAGGGAAAAAAAAAGGAATTTGAAGAATTTAAATGTGACTGTCCTAGGTTACACAAATTATAACTAGTTCAATAACAGAAAAATATTTCCTCAAAACGAGAATATTTTATTTTTTATATTTTTAAAATCTTTAAATTCCCGAAATCAGTTACGTTTGTTTAGTTTTAAAACTAAACAATTATCTTAATTTGGTCTTCTAGATTTTTTAAACATTCATTAGTTATTTTGAGAAACATTTCAACAGTAAATTGATTTCTGCAAGGGTCAAGAAAAATACAAATAATTTTTTCAGTAAGAAAAATAAGATATTTTTAAAAAAGTTTTAGTTTTAACAATTGATAATTTGGATAAAAAGATCAAATATAATTGTATAATAGCTCCCATATATTTTTTTACTTAATAAAGTACAAATACATATACCAAGTTTATTTTTAAAAGTACAAAAAAAAGCGACAGAGTTTTGGTAAAACAAACTTTTGTATTTTTGTCTCGAAATAGTGGAATCAAAGGCAACGCCCGCCTTTGACTGATTGAATGACAACGTTTTCTTATTTCTGTAAAAGTTTAATAATGTAAAAAAGATACAAAGTAAAAGAGAAAGCTAAATCAAAAATAATGTTTAATTTATCAAGTATAGAACAGAAAATAAAGTACAAAAAGAATACTTTCAATCAGTTCTATCAACAAAAACATAAACATTATTACTGATATCGTAAAAAGTTTTTATTTTTTTTTAATTTTTAAATAAATTTCTTCATTACTTCAATAACTGCTTTCAAAAAAGTTTTGTCACATTCTTTTCTTAATTTTCTCCTATTTAACTGGAAGAAGCTGATTGGATTGACATCACCCTTTCGACTGATCATTCATAAATTTCCTTGTTTATCTACCGCACAAGATGAAAATAACGAAGATAGGTTTTCTTATAAACAAGAAAAGTTTTCTGAAGTTTCTAAAACTATCTACGTATTCTGAAGGGGGAAAGAAAAATGCCCGGAACTTTCTCAATCTTATTTTTTAACGGAAGAAACGTATCGGTGGGAGAGGGGGGGATGATTGGATGTCACGCTTGCACACAAAACATAAACATTGATGAAACTCATACGCCAGCGTACAAACTTTTCAACAACTATTCACTACCACGACTACAAAAATTACCAACAACAACGAAACTACTTTGTAAGTGCGATATGAGGGATTTTCAATTTTACTTTCTTTTTTTTTTTTTCAACAAACACACATAGATAACCAGTTTGGAAAATTTGTTTACATTTCTTTTATGTATGTATGTAAGCATGTATGTGTATATAAACAAGTGACATTTGTTAAAATTTACCTTGGAAATCTTCAGAAATCCAAATGCAGGAGTTACCATGTCATATGTCATTTGGAAATGGTCAGGCAGGAATTTTTTGCCAGGCCCAAACTTTCTTCCTATGATATTGCCACTTGAAACCATGATGTCTTTCCTCCCATACACTGTTATTGTATTATTATTAATATTGATTTTCAATTTCTTCTTTTTTCTTGTTTTTGACAGCACAATTATTTATGCTCTTCTCAAAGAAACACGTCAGTGTATGGATCACTTATGAGTGGAAAGAAAATTTAAAAAAAAAAAAAAGTTGACTCGAGTTTGATCTATAAATGTCTAATCCTCGAATATTCAGTCATCAAATACATCTCCATTCAATCACAGTTGCTGTTGCCGCTGTTGCTGCAGTTTGTAAATGAATTACTTCTCTCTCTCTCTCTCTCTCTCACTCTCTCTCTCTTCCTCTCAGTGCTTGCTAAACTTGAGAAGCACAAAGAGTCAGTCACGACATGCCTCTATGTTCGTTCAAAAAGTTTAGTCTTCAGATCTCTTTGTCATCTTGGGTCGAGTTTGAAGTCTGAATTTGGTCCATTCAAAACGCTCTCATTTTCATCTTCCTCTTGTTTCTAAAAAGGTAGATATTGCCAAGTCCCATCACTATAATTAAACTACAGCCTGTGCCAAAAACTGGCAGCCAACTGTCATATCCTGTTATAATGACTACTGTTTGGTGTCTGTTGCTTTTGAAAACGCACTTTGTGTCTGGTCTCATAAACATGCATGGTATGCTGTAAGCAGGCACATGTCACAAGTAGCGGCTCGCAATCGAGAATGCACACACTGCTTCTGAGTGGTTGAGCAGCCACAATCTACAATAATTAGTGTGCTAGATCAATATCAATCAATAAGAGGGGGATGGTTTCTCTCAATGGACAACAACGGGGCCCTATGACAGACAGAGAGCAGAGTGGAACAACCACCACACTCTCCCTGTGACAGGCCCTCAAGGGGGCAAGCCTAATTCATCTTAACAACTGCCGACACACGAGAAATTTTTAGAATCTCTCCCCCTACCTCTCTCCCTACCTACCTAACACTATTTTTCTATGTCCTCCTCCTTCTCCTCCTCCTATTCGGGTTGCCAACCCCTCCCCCACAATTCCACTCATACTCCTCCCCCTTTTCGGTTGTGCACCTCCCCTCCCCTCAAGGAAGAGTGCAACCCTAACCTCAAGGATGATGGAGCTATTTGATGAGCCCACTACTAGGTCCACAAGTGACTCTGATTCTTTCAAGTAAACTGATCCATATTTTCCTGCACTCTATTGGAATGACATCATAATCTTTTCGCTACTACTGGCGAAAGCTCCGAAGATACCGGACCAAACAGTCGAGATGAGATTCAGTTCTTTTTTACTCTATCTCTTTCTTCGCTTTTAGTTTTCATTCATACCAAAACCAACTCTATAAATAGGCCCTTCTACTCTTGGTAGTCAACTGAACTAAGAAGAATTAGAAGAAAAAAAAAAAACATAACACAGACGGCAGGATAGAACAAAACTGACTACAAAACAATTATGGACTAATTAATACCTACATCTCTACATATACACTCACATGCAGGAAGTTAAAGCGCAGATTATTATACAAAGTTTTAAAAGCGAGTCGACTGACTGGGCCGATAAGAGATACTGCTAGTAGCATCTTAATTGGACATATCTATTTCTTTCTTTGAGTGATTGTGTTTTATATATATATATATATATATATATATATATATATATATATATATATATATAGCACTATGCCCGAAGTGGTGATAGGCAATAATATTCACTTATTTATTTCAAGTACATCAGAATATCGTGTAACAAACTACTTTCTCATTTCGGCCTTTTACTACTGACAAGGAGATGCACGCGATTTACTGAACAAAAATAGTGAAAGTAAAATTTCCTTCCAAGAACGTACACATGCACGCAAGCGTACATGCACGCATACATACATTGAGAAACATGCATATGCACACGTAAATACTACATACACATAGGCATGAAGAAGAAGAAGAAGAAGAGCAAAAATCTTTTACCTCAAGTGGCTTCATTGCTGGCTGGATATCGGCATGTCGAGGATTTCAGTCACAATACTGGGGACCCTGGTGAAATGGATAGTAGACGAAAAACTATATTTAGGTCTGAAAACCTTCAGGCTACTATTTTCACTTCTTTTGTATCAATTTATGACAATTACATTATTAGATGGACGTCTTTGGTATTTCACAAAAATTTACATGATCGACTCTTCTTTTTTAATGATTCACATGTATGGGTATGTATACAAAAATATGAAAATAACAACAAACTCAAGAATCAACCCAGAATAGAAAATGGGGAAAGAAAAAAATATATAAAATGACTACTGAAAAAAGTCTTCAATCAATATTCTTACATTGTGAAAGGACAAACACAGGGAGAGAAAGAAGTGTGCATGAGTGCGTGTATGCGATGAAGAAGGGCAAAGTCATACGGAGAAGATAGAACTGAATAAGAATATTAATTTCGAATGTGGTATGACCACAGCCACAGCACACGGAACAGGGCAAATCGGAGCGCAGCAGAAGAAAGAGGGACGATGACACACATCATCATCATCATCATTCATTCCTATACAAATCCGTCCACACCACGTACACACATACACACACACACACAAGCACACACCTAAAAATCAGAAAAAGGCATCACCAAAAGAAAAAGGAAAAGTAGGTTTGAAGGAGAAAAAAGTGAAAAGAATTGAAGAGAACCTCCGAAGTCTTTTAAAAAAATCAATTATTCATTGCGGAGTGTCCTAATTCGTGTAATTAAAATGCTTTTGAATGGTTGATTAATTTAAAACAATTTGTGATGCCAGAGTTTGGGGAGACCACGGGACCTTCATTAGGATGTCATAGCAAAAAACGGATACGGGAAACTATACTATGTATAAATATTATTTATATCAAAAGAAAGGTGGAGGGTGGGTTAAAAAAATTCCTACCGCCAGCCACAAGTTTTCCGTGGATCATAACAGAAATAAAAAGGAAATCCTCTGGAGATGTCGTTGATGCCGCTTGTTGAAAGAAGAGAAAACGAAGGACGACTGAGAATAAAACGAAGAAGAGAAGGGAGTAAAAAAAAATTCCTGCCTGGGTCAAAGCTGTCTGGGTCCCTACTGTGGTAGTGTCGTTGGTCGCCTTACAAGTGTGGTGGATCACTTGGCCCTCCAGTGACCCCCAACACCCCCGCCAGCAACAGCAGCAGCAGCAGTCAGTAGTGGCATGGCCGTGGATCAATGATGATGCACACACACAAACTCCATCACATCAAGGAGACGAACAGATGTATATATTTACGTGTACATACACATAGTCACACACGGCCTGTTCTGTTCGTTCTCCTTCCTTCTCTTGCTCTAGGACTCTGGGAGAATGATGATGATCATGATGATGATGGTGCAGGCGAATGTCACAGCTTACTACTCAGCGGCGGCGGTGGCAAGGACATGCCTATACACCACTGTGGCCGTAATCGCTTTTTCTTTTCTCTTTTCTGTCTTCTTCCTTCTTTTATTCTGGCTTTCCCTTTTACCAAATCAATGGTGGGTGCCAGGCGCAGTCAAAGACAGATGGCACTTTTAATGCCGTATGGGTTTTATGCTAATGCAGCTTGATTAAAAACATTCTTTTTTTTTTCGTTAATAATCAATCAGACAGTAATTGTTGTTCTGCGACAAGCGACCGACCATGACAAATTTATGCTGGTGGTGGTAAGGGGTACAAAAAGACAAGAGTTTTATAGATTGATTGAAAGCTGGATAAAGAGAGAGATGAAGGAAGGATGAACGGACGAAGGAAAGAAAAGAGACAACGAACCAAACACAAATGACAAAAGAAAGAAAAGAGAAAGTAAAAAGAATGACGATGACACGCACACACACGCACACAGAGGACCGGGAGGCTTGTTGCAGCAAAGTCAGTTAATGGCAGTAATAATAGTTTTTGGTGGAGATGGTGGACCCTCTCTAGAGGAATGCGAGGAGGTGAACAGAGTCAGAAGGAAAACAGAAAGACACAGAGACTGACTTGACATGCACCTAAGACGTAGATACGGATATATTTTGGTATAATGGGCATAAAAGAAAAGAAAAGAAAAGATATACTTAGAAAGAACGGCCCGCGGCTAAGAGTCACAAGAAGAGGATGGCCGAAACAAGTTTAAGGTGAACATGATGGAATGGACACAGTGAAGTGACAACAATGAAATGACGCACACACCAGAGAAATGCAGGTTCAGTCAGGGGAGGACAGAGGACAGAGGGCAGGGCCGACTTAAAAGGAGAGGGTAGAGAAGCATAGAGAATGAGTATTATTCTGTATTACAGGGTCACAGGGTATTGGTGGGGGTCACATGTGCAAGGTGAACACAACAACGGTAATAATAACGATCTTCTCATCGCATTCTTTCACTCCCCGTTTATGGTGATGGTGATGGTGATGAAAATGACAGCGAATGTTGTTGCACTCCTTTCAATACAACATTAATTACTTTTTTGTCTTATTCATCTCTTTTACACTTTCTTCAAACACTTTAAGCGACACACACACACACAAACGTTAGTAATGATACTAGGATTAATAGTCTAAAATTTAGACTCTAAATAAATAATATAAATAATAATAGATACATTACAGTCGGGCAAGCTTGGGTAAAAATCCCTTGTGGGTAGGTAATGTACTCAGACCAACATCTATCATTCACTCGACTCGGGCATCTCTTAGTTTTTTGTTGCAGTTAGTGTCTTTTTCTTTTTAAAATGTCATATACTTGATAAATACCACATTTGTCGAATTCCACTTTTTTTCCCTTTTTGTTCTTCCTCAAGAAGTCTCTACGAACAAAATTGGTAAAGATGTAGAAATGTAGTAAAAGTTTTTACAGTAACTATTTGGTTAGTCTATCTGTCCGTCAGGTCGGGTCGTTGGTATTTCTACGTGTGTCGATGATGTACAAATTTACATAGACACACACGTCACGGGTCGTTGTGTATTATTATTATTATTATTATTATTGTTATTATTATTATTATATTATTATTATTATTGCAATGATGTCTCTGGTTTTGGGATAGATGAGACAGACACACAGATAGAAAGATAGATGGATGGATGGATGAAGATGCTGGTCTGGTGTGTCTCTCTTTCACTGTGGGTTTTTGCCTGTTCGTCGTTGTTGTCGACGTCCTCTATCTGTCTGTCCGCTCTTTCTCTCTCTCTCTCTCTAGCTGCTCGTCCCACCGTCCTGCTAGATGATCATCATCACCAACATCATTATCCTCTTCATCATCGTCCCACCGTGTGCCGGGGGCCGGGCCACTGATGATGAGAATGATGAAGATGATGGTGGTAGTGATGCTGAGGGGAGGCAGGCTTCCTTCCAGCAGGCGAACACTGTCAACTAGACACAGCAGTCGGCAACGTGCCCACGCTGTCGGAGCCAGCAAAAACATTGGCACGGACCGCCGACCGAACGGCCGATCCGATCGTTTTTACTCCTTAGAGTTTGTGTGCTCAACAAAATCAGTGTGGAAAACTCTATGCTGTCTCATCTTTTTGTTCTTTATTAGTTTGTCAGGAATAAGTACGGTAGGAAAGAGAGGAAAAACTACTAACAATGTCAAAACACTTCCCATTTTTGTGTCGTTGTAAACAGGCCAGGTAATAACGGGTCTCTGGTACCAACATATCGCGTCGTTATGAGAAAACTACAGAAGTTGGATATTGGAGAAAAATAAAGTAAAAGACAAAAATGATTAGGTTTGTTTTTCACGAACGGTTCAGTTAATAATAATAATAATAACAATGAGGTCATTCCCTGTGACAACGATTCAGTCCTTTATCTGAGAAAAAAAAATTAAGTGTAAGCCTCATTTGGGAGTCCATTCTTTTTATTACTTTCTTCATCTTTTTATTTAGTCAGGTACACAAAAGAAAATTGAGCTAAAAAGTCTTTTAGATGTTAAAAATAATAATATCAATGTGTCGCAGTAAACAGGCCAACTTATGCGACAATGGGTCGAATAGACAAAATATATTCTTCACTTTTTTTACATGTTCTTACAAAATTAAATTGGGATGTAGAAAATTATTTGAATGAAAACAAAAAAATGCTAGTTTCATACTAATTCTTCTGCCCTATTTTTTTTTTTATTAAATACATGATGAAATCAATTTCTTAAGTCATTGTGGCTGTCCTTTATTTGAAAAATAGATTGTTTAATAGCAGTTCTAGTAGTGATCAATTTTGATTGTTTTAAAACGTTTCGGTGAAGAGAGTTCTCATTGCTCTAGTATTGAAAAAAAAGGTCAATTTCCGGTTCTACATCTTTTATTCAGTCCGTCTTTAAATTTCGTTTCCAGAATTTTTCATCTACAAAAGGCCCATTCTCTAATGTTGTTCCAAACAACAACAACACAAAAAAATGATTGGAGAGTGTTCTTTATGTCCAAGAAAAACGAACTCTACAAATTAAATAAAATCCCTTGGACACAATCTGGGGGATCAGTTTATTTCATCAGTTTGGCGTAAAAACGATTCCCCAATTCTTCCAAATTTTCTCTGCTTATTTTCATGACAGAATGGTTGACCCCAGAGATACAGACAGACAGACAGACCGACCATGAACATTATTTGTCACATTCAAAGTACTTAAGGGGACCTAAAGAAAGAAATGTAGTAATTCATCTTTCTTTACTGTTTTTACTTTTTAGTGTTGTAAATTAATTTAATCATTATTAAAAGGTTGATCCGACGATCAGTTTATCTACTAAAAAAAACTGATCAAATTGGACAGTGAGTATCAACGAATTATTCCTAAGATAAATTGTTTTAAATAGAAAAACACAAAACTAAAGTATTTTTCTGTAAAAAATAACTTGCTTTAGAGAGGATCAATAACATCTATTCTAAAAATAAATTGAATTTTTTAACAGGAAAAATAGAAGCAAAAGAAGACGATAGAAAGAAAATACTGAAAAATATAAAAACCCTAATTTTCATCAAATGAAAGAAATCCCGACGTAATGTCGGGTTCCAAAGTTAACAAAATATACGGTAAAATTATTATTTTTAGAGGGGATAATACTTTTTAAAAAAATTTTCCTATTTGTTAAAAATAAATATCTTGTTACCAGTACCTTGTGTAACTTAAAGATTTAAAGTTACACAAGGTAACAAGATATTTTAAGTTAAAATATTTCAAAATAAAACAAGAAAAAATATTCTAAGTAACTCTTGAAGAAAAAAAAGTATGAAAATAGTATGAATAATGAAATTTGGGGTTATTCAGTTGATGAACCCAGAGAAAATCTCATTCATGTGGCTTTCCGATACCGGCGAATTTAAGGCCAACATTTTTCTGGGGGTAGGAAAGGAACAAAATTAAATGAGGTATTTGGAGAGCCTCCTTCACCCCTCATGAGATAAAAGAAAGAAAAAGATGTAGGAGAGGGCGATAAGTGGGGGGGAGGTTTAAGACGAGGACACAAGAAAAACTACCAGAAAAGTCCCGATATCCCACAGTAGTACCAGTAATAGACTTTTTGATAAAGGTTCTTCGGCTCTAATAATTCTAATTTCTTAGAATTCTGACTTTCGTTGCCTTGTTCCGGAATTTCGTTAAAAAGCCCGAACAAAAGATTTAGTGACGATTTAAATAATTGTCATCTTTTGATTAACTTCTTAATTTTAAAAAATCAATTTTTTTCGCATATTTTTCCTAATTTTAAGGAATATTTTTTCTTTTCATTCTTTGATAATACTTGTTGGGGTTTATGATCAAAAGGGAAAGGTACAACACATGCTTGTCATCAGAAATCAATATTTTTTTTTCTAAAGAAAGTAAAAAGAAAATAAAACATTCCGATGGTCTAAATAATGATGTAGATTTTTATTTTAACCAAAAAAATCATGTTTTTCAAATTGTTATCGTTTCTTTTTTAACAATTAAAAATGATACCATTTCACGTTTATTTTAATTAATATTTTAATTAAAGGCAATTAGTTACGTATTAATTTAATTATTGGAAATACATAAGAGAAAAATACTTTCAAATGTCCATGAACACTAAGTTATAGTCAAGTTGACTAATTTCTTGAAATGTCCCATTTGGTGGGGAGCAGCTGCGGAAGTTGGTAATCGTAATATTTCTTTAGAGGAAAAATAAAAATAAAGAAACATTTTTAAATAAAAACCAACGGTCAATTACAACAAAAATAAATATAATTTAGTACGAAATCGGCAAAAATTAGTTTGTAGCGGAAACTTTGTGCCTTTCGAGAAATCTTCGGCGGCATTTAAGAGACTTCTGAAAGTGTCAAGAAACACACCAATTCAAAGACAGATTTTCCAGATTAATAATAAAAAAAAATATTTGCGAACATTACAGACGAGATGAGTAAAAAAAAAAAAAAAAAAAAGGCAGGAAGAGAAGCGAGTTTTTTTTATGATTACGTCAAATGCGACATTTATTTACTTATTTACTTACAAAGTCATCATAAAGCGCTAACTAAAATTATAAAACAAAAACATAACATGTTATCGTTTTTTTTTGTAGGTGATACTTTTGTTTTAAGAGTCACTTTAAAAAAATGATTTTCGTGACTTTCGAAAAA